AGCGGTTGAGGGTTGAACCTGGTGCTTAAGAATACATTCCAAGGGAGTAAGAGATTTTTACATGGAGCTCCCCAGCAAAAAAAAAAAAAAAAAATGCAAAATGAAACAAAAAGGATTGGGTGTCCCCTTTAATTTTTGTTTGATTCCTCTATGCTTGTGGTGTCTCTTGAGTAGATTCTACTCTAGGCAGGTGGGTACCATCGGGAAAGAGACCAGAAGACAAATTCATCTAGCCTGCCCTCCCTCACACTGGTGTGTCATTTCATCTTCCCAAGGACCTTGTGTACTTAACTCCAATGGTGGTTTTTGTAAGCCCAAGTTACAGTGGATCTTGGCTGTCACAGTCATGGGAAGGGAGCATTGTGGAGCACTACACCATTGCTTTTTAGTCCTTTGAAGAGGGTAGTGACCAAAGAGTGCCTGGGAAGTAGTTGGAGTGCAGAGGAGATACCTCTAGAAATAGGTAAAATGCGGTGTGGAGAAAAGCCCCACCCTGGTGTCTGGGGCATAGAACTTCCTAAGACATTCCTGTTATCTCCTTAATCACCTATGCAACCTTGTTTTTTTTGCAAGACAAGGCTACATTTTTAAAATTTTTAATTTTTTTTGTATCAGGAATCAAACTCAGGGCCTCATGCTTGCAGCCCTGCTGTGAGGCTGAATCCCTGCCCAGAATTCTGTTGGTTGTAATACTAGGATGTCTCTCAGTTTCACAGTGTTGTTTTCTTGTACTTTAATTGAAAGTGAAGCTAATTAATGTCTTATTCTTGACCTTAAAGTTACTTCTCGCCCCTTTTGTTATCTGTACTTAGAGGGGAAGATAGGCCACTTAGCACTAGCTGCAGTGTTCCTCTTGGACTTCCACCTGCTGATTAACCCTGCAGCTGTCCTGGTTCCCTCTTTCCTTCCCCAGGGCCTGTTTGAAGGTTCTGGGAGGAAGGGCTGTGCCCTTTTCACTTGATTTATTTACTCAGTCAGTTTATCAGCCTTTGCTTGTGGGTATTTATTCTTTGGACTAAAATGCAGTGCTGTGTCTTTTGTTGCTTAAGCTACTTTGGTGGAGCCATTAGGAGCTCTGGAACGGGGCTCCTGGGTCCTTTTGACGTTCTTCCATCTTTTTTTTTTTTTAGTCGTTTGCTTTTTTTTTGGCTAATTTTCTGCTACTGTAAAACACTCATCTTTGCTTGCCCCAGCTTGGTATGAACCACTTCTCCAAGGAGGCCTGGGTTTTTCATTGGGAGTGTAGTTTTGGGGGCTTTAGATGTGAGCTTGTTATTTTTTAGTTGATAAATTAATGGAAATGTTATGTTAAAGTTTTAAGTGTGTCCCAAAAGCAATCCTTAGCAGTTAATATTGTTACCAGTTTATGAGGGATACCCCACGTATATCACACTGGTATCCACAAGAATAAGAGACCACAAGAGAAAACCACAAGAATAAGAGACTAGTGGAGCTTTCAGAAGAAAAGCAGAGAAACAGAACTACCTGTCCCACGACGTGCAGAATACTTAAGAGCAAAATGTCTTGAAAGCTGTCTGCTTCTTGCCTGGGAAGTCCTGTGCTGTTCCCAGAGCTGCCTCTTTGTGAGGATGGGTGGGGGTGTCCCTGCTCTGGGACAGGAGCCCCGAGTACCAGGCTGGGTATTCACAGCGGCCGCTTGAACACAGCTGTTTGACAAACGAAGGTTTTCCTCTGTGCTCAACTGGCAGGGGCTTGGGAGGAAGCCTGCAGTTTCCACTGCTGGCTGGCTGGGGCTCAGCTGCTTGGCTCTGGCTGGTGCTTGGTTGCTTGCCTGGTGAAGCCTGCGAGGCTTCTGTCCTGTGAGGCTGAGGCCCTGAAGAGGTGGTGCTCATCCACGGGTCCTGTGGAGAGGGGTGTCACTGTGGGGGTGACAGTGTGTCCAGGTCTAGAGCTGCAGTTGCCCTGCGCCTGAGGGACCCTGGTGCTTGGCTGGTACAGGATGCTCTGGGCAGGATTGTCATACTGAGCTCAGGTTTGCTTGGGTCTGAGGGAGAGCAGAGCTGAGCGATCTCTGCGGTCACCCTGGAGCCTGGGTGAGAGGGACCTGCCCCTTGCCCCCACCATGTGTCCCATGATGGTCGTGATAACATGGTGCTTTGGCTGTGGAAGTTCCTGTCCCCTCTGCCTTACAGCACCCAGGGTGATTCCCAGCCCTGGTCCTACATGCTCTGCTCCAAATAGATGGTTTCTGCCTTCCTTTAATCAGAGTCAGTGTTCGGTGTGGACACCCCCCCCCCCAGCTCCTTGTGTGTTGTTCCTGCTGGTCACCTGACGTTTATTCCCAGAGGGAGCCAGAGCTGTGCTGCTTTCCTGGAAGGTTTCTGGAAGGGGCCTCTGTGCTGCAGTGGCCTGAACTCTGGAGCATGCTGGGCCAGGTTGCATCAAGGGCTCTTATGGTACACCTCAGTCACGCTTTTCCTTCTGGTGTCTTCTTTTAAATTTGAATTTTTTTTTTTGTCTTTTTGAGACAGGGTCTCTCTATGCAGTTCAGGCTGGCCTAGGCTGGTTTCCAACTCCCGGTGATCCTCCTGCCCCAGCCTCCTAAGTGCTGGGATTCCAGGCATGAGCCATCACACCCAGCTGAATTTTGTTTTTTTGAAACAGGGTCTTTGACATTGCCAGGAAAGCCTCAGCTTCTTGAGTATGATCCTCCTGTCTCAACCTCCTACATAGTTGGGACTCCAGGCATGCACCAATGCATGTGGCATGTCTTTATTGTCTTAAAAAAATCCTTTTCTCCCACAATTCTTACTCTCTCTCTCTTTTGTTTTTGGCACCAGGTATGGCACTCATGACCTTGTGCTTGCCAGGCAGACGCTTATGCCGCTTAGCTAAATCCCCGGCCCTCTTTCTCTTTCTATTCTTTGCCATTTTGTTTTAACTAGAATTATTTATGTGTGTGATTGTATTGTCTTTTTACTTGCCTTGCCAGTTGTCTCAGCAGCGCACTGAACGTTGTATTTGCTCCCACTGACATGTATTGATGTTGAGGAAAGAAACTCCCACCCTTCTAGACGTGTGGTGGGAGTCCGCATGCTCTAACATCAAAGAATGAATTTTAGGAACAGTGGAGGTTAAGAGCAGAATATATTTATTGAGTGAAAGAACGCTTTTGTCTGGGAGAGAGAGAAGGGGTCCCGAGTGGGTTACCCAAGACTCTGTCTGTCTGGAGACTTATAGCGCAAAACCATGCAGTGAGCTGGGTCCAAGATGGTGGGGGGAGAGAGATATGAGAAATCTCAAGGTGGATGGGCAGGAGGTGGGACAGAACTGTGGTCAACCAATGAGATTAATTGTTCAGGTAAAATTTGCCAAACCTGGGACCAAGGGGGAAGCCAGTCACATAGCAAGCAGGCATTCTTAGAGAGTGGTGACTCCTGGCTTCCTCAAGGTGACCCTATTTAGAATATCCATCCCTGATGCTTACACTGAGGGTGTGGCTGCAGTTGTTCTGCCCTTTGTCTTGAGGCCTAGCCCTCTGCAGAGGCAGAGGTGCATCTGGGCTGCTGTGCTGGCGCGCTGGCTCCTTCCAGGGCCCAGCCTGTCTTAGTGCCTGTGCTTCTGACTCACTGCCTGAAACAGGGCCACGTTAATCAGCTGTGCGCTGCTTGAACAGCACAGCTGTGTATCCAGCTCCCGAGGAAGATGTTCTTTTGGCTCGCAGGTTAGGAGGTCACAGTGCTCTTCTGTGGCCCATTGTTTGTGGGCCCATGGTGAGGTAGTGCATGGTGGCAGAGAGCAGGCAAAGCAGCTGCTACACTCATAGCGGGCGGCCGGGAAGAGACAGAGGACAAGGCTGCCACCCTGGACCTCACTTGCACTGGGCCCACACAGGCTCAGTGACATAGGGGAATAAAACTCCCAACCTACTATGTCTGTGAGTTCGTGTCCTCTAAAACCAGAGTGAATTTTAGGGACAATGGTGAAGACTAGAGTATATTTATTGATTGAAGGAAAGTTCTGTCTGAAGAGAGATAGAAGAAAACCCGAGCGGGTTGCCCAAGACTGTCTTTTCCAGGGACTTTTATAGAGTAAAGCCATGGTTCTCTGTGGGACATAACTATAGTTAGCCAATAAGATCAATAGTTTATGTAAAATGGTTTATGGCAAGTCAGGTAGGAAGTGGGCATTCTTAGAATCAGTGACTCTTCCATAGGGATTGGAATGGTGAGTCCTGGCTTCTCAAAGTGATCCAGATGTAATCCCTAAGGAATATACTTAAGGGTGTGGTTGCATTTGTTTTGCTTTCTGTCTTGAGATCAGCAAGAGGTGTGTGTGTCCTCCAAGGTCATCAGATACCTGGTCCTCTGTGCCTGCTTCCTCCAGGACCCAGCTCTGTCTGCTGCCTATGATATTGCGTACTGGTTCAGCTGCCTGCAACATCAGGACCAGGCCTGACACACACATCCCATTTGAGCCACCCCAGTGTCCAAACCGCAACCTGAAGCTCTCCCGGCTGGCTCCTTTTTCCTGGCTGTTTTTTTGTTTGTTCTGTTTTTTGAAACAAGGTCTCTGCTGTATAATTCAGGCTGGCCTTGAACTCAGGGCATCCTGCCTCAACCTCCCAAGTGCTGGGGTTATAGGCGTGCGCCACCACATCCCACTATAGCCTAATCTTTATGCCTGCTAAAAACCTTTATGAAATTTTTTCCAGTCTTAGGGATCAAGTTCTGGATCTTAGGGGTTCTAGGGTGTTGCTATACTGCTGAGCCACACCTCCAGCCCCGCAAGGACTCTGAATTGCTGCTGGGAACTGTAGGAATCCGGAGATCAAGCCAAGGGTTGGGAACCCTGCTGCCTCAGGGCTTCCGGTACACAAATGTGGCCTGTGGTTGGCCAACGCTTCTAGGACTATCTCATTAGCAGTTCCTGAATTTAACCCTGTGCAGTGATTTCTTAGCTGGGGGCACGTGCCCCACCCCCTACACAGAGCCTAACAGCACCGCGTGTGATGGGTGTTGTGTTTTTCTCCTGAACAGGGATGTTGGTGACTTTGGTCTCTTGGCAGTGATGTTTGATGTCCCAGCAAATGGCATTGTTCATCGCTGTGCTGATGAGAGTTCCTGAGGCCCTGGCAATGCTCTGGCAACAGTGCAGACCTCGTGTGCACACAGCTGGGTAGACTGAGCAGCAGGAATGCCCCCAGGCCGGTGGCACTCGGTGCCTGCAGTGCAGGCGCAGGCCCCCACGGAGCGAGGGCGCCTCCTGGCGGTGAAGAAGGAGGAGGAAGAGGACAGAGGCTATGCCACTGCACAGACTGCCAGGCCACAGACCCTCAACCGTCCTGGCCAGGAGCTGTTCCGCCAACTCTTCCGGCAGCTTCGCTATCATGAGTCCCCCAGTGCCCTGGAGACACTGAGCCGTCTCCGGGAGCTCTGCCGCTGGTGGCTGCGGCCGGACGTTCTCTCCAAGGCCCAGATCCTGGAGCTGCTGGTGCTGGAGCAGTTCCTGAGCATCCTGCCGGGGGAACTGCGGACCTGGGTGCAGCTCCACCAGCCGGAGAGTGGTGAGGAGGCCGTGGCTGTGCTGGAGGAGCTACAGCGGGATCTGGATGGCTTGCCACAGACGGTGAGTGTGTGCAGGCATGGTCTCCATCGGGTCTTGCTGTGTGGGTAGGGTGAGGGGTCGCCTCCCCTTCCTTGTGTGAGGGCAGCAGAGCCATGGGCAACAGGGCCCTGGGCATGGAGCTCTGCACACCTTCCCTAAGGAGGCTCTGCTGCGGCGCAGGTCAGCAGGAGTTTGTAAGGTACCAGCCTAACTGCAGTGTGAGGGGTCCCTGTCCCAGTGCCTGCTGGCAGAGGGGCACTTGGGCAGGACAGAGCTTTAGGACAGAGCATAGGAAAGCAGGCTGTGTGCTGTGCTGAAGTTCTATGTGTGCAGCGGCGTGGACCCAGGTGCAGGGGGGCACCTGGGCTAGGGAACTGGGAGACTTAGGGGCAGACTCCATTCTGCAGCCTCTGCCTTTGGCCATGCTGCTATGCTGTCTGGAATCTTGGGTTACAGAGAAGAAGTGCTCAGAGTGTGAGAATTTGTCCAGGGAGTGTTTGAGTGCCTAGCCCTTGCCCAGCCCTGGCCCTGGTGCGGGGAGTGGGGGGGGAGGGGGCAGAGCAGATGGCCTGGGCCTGGGCTTCCCTAGCTGACCCACAGGATTGCACCACCCGGACGTGTTGTCTCCTTCCATTGTGCAGTTGACTGCTGCAAGGTCACTTTGCAGTTAGTGCCTTGGGCTGTGTTTGGCAGTGGCTGCTGCAGGCCTGGATTCCCCTGTCTCTTCTCAGGAACTAAGTTCTTTCCACTAGGTTCTGGGCCCGGAGAGGGATGAGGTGATGGGGGAGGGTCACTGGCATCCTGAGGCTGACTTTGTGCGGTTACTGAACTGCCAGCTTTTGCTCAGCTGGGAAGGGCCTCTGAGCACCACTGTGCCGGCTGCTGTCCACACTGCCGGGCAGGGCCTCTGCTGTGCAGCCTGGGGCTCCTCCTCAAGCCCTGTTTCTGGTCTCACAGGCTCCTCTCGCATTTGCTTTCCTAGGACCCAGGCCTCAACCTGCACCCAGAGGTACGCTGGATGGGCACTGCAGCCCTGCAGTCCTCACAGACCTGGGTGCCGCCCCTCGGCAGCAGCCCTGCCCCGGGACAGCAGCTGGAGCCTCTCCACGCAGTAGGAGCAGGTGACTTCCTGGCTGGGCCACCGGGTACTCACTGGCCTGCTGCCACCTCTGCTTCTCCCGAGTGCTATCAGTGTCCTTCCCCTGTAGATCAGTGTCCTTCCATAGCCTTGTGTGACTTGTGTCTGGCTGACTCCTCCATCCACGGCTCCCCATGCCTTGGCCCCCAGGAGACATGAGGACCTGGCCCTGGGGGGTTCACAGTGAAGTCCCTGGGGAGGAGTGGGCTTCTTGGTGGCGTGTCCAGCCAGGCAACTCTCTCATGGCTCACTTCCCTTTCAGCTCCTCCTGCCGCCCTGGCCCCTTCCCTGTCCCTGAGTGAGGTGACCCCAGAGGACCCTGCTGCAGCCACTCAGTCCCTGACACCGGAGCCGCAGGTAAGTTTGGGGCTTACATCCCTGCCGAGGGCTGGGCTCCTGTGCTGGGCATCTTGGAGCCTGCACCTCCCGTGAGCCCAGAGCTTCCCTGTCCAAAGTCCTTTGTGTCTGCTGGATCCCTCCACTTGCAGCAGGCTGGGAGTGGGGACCAGTGCCAGTGTTTCTGTAGGAGGCAATAACTTTCAAGGATGTGGAGGTGACCTTCTCCCAGGACGAGTGGGGCTGCCTGGACTCAGCCCAGAGGAACCTCTACAGGGACGTGATGCTGGAGAACTACGGAAACTCGGTGTCCCTGGGTGAGCGGCCAACATCCCTACGCTGCCAGCACCCAGCTTCGCCCTGGGGTTTATCGTGCACGAGAGGGGCTTGCCCTCAGTGTGGATCCTGGCTATGTAGCAGGTCACCTCATCTGTCACCACACTGTTCTCTACTAAACCATGATGGTGATCGTGCCTGCCCCACTGGGTTCCCGTAAAGATTAAAGATGTGTCAAGTTCTAGTCATCGGAAAAAAATGTCAGCATCCCAAAAGCATGGTACAACCTGACTGGCCAAGTAGTTCTGGCACCCACTTCTGGGGTCCTCCAACCCTGTGTGACTTTTCTCGGCCCCTTTTCCTGGTCTGCTCAGGGTTGGCATAAATGACCCTAGGCTTGTATCTTACCTCCCTCCATTTGCCTTCCTGGCCTGCCCCTACCAGGACTCTTGGCAGAGGATCCTGTGTGACTGGTCTGCTTATCGTCCCTTCTCTCCTCTCCTGCAGCAGGGTCCTTCTCCAAACCCGCCCTGATCTCTTGGTTGGAGACCAGAGGCCCCTGGCAGATGAGTGTCCAGACAGCTCGGCCTAAGAGGCTTTTGCGTTCAGCCCCTCTGGGTAAGTTCCCAGAAGCAGGCCAGGCCCTGCCTCTCATGCACTCCAGCGATCAGTGGGTCTGCTCTGTCGTGGCTCACGGCAGGAAGACCTTTAACCTTCCTCAGGGTGCTGGCCCTGGGCCGGGATAGTTGTTTGTCTGGCCCTGTCCTGTCCTTGGTGACCCTCGTGCCGAAGGCTTGGCTGTCCTCTTCTCAGCTTATGGACTGTCCTTTCCCACACTGCGCCCACACTTTCCTTTTCTCTGACATCTTCTGTAGCAGGCTTGAGTTCTAGTCCTTTGTTCAGATGCCCCTTGGAGCCCTGCCTCTTGGCACCATTCAACCACGCCTGTGCCTGGATCAGGCTCCCTTCCCTTGCAAGTTACCACTGTCCTCCCAGCCCTTTCCCCTTTGCTGCTGGTTGCCTTCTGCTCTTCCCTAGCTGCTGTGCCCATCTTGTGTCCTCCTCCCTTCCTTGTGTCCGGTTTTGCCTTGCTCTCAACTGTTTTGAAGAGGCATTGGCAGTCTTCCAGAACCTTGCTACTTGGATGCCCCGCATTTTATGGTCACATTTGCCCTCTCCAGTTCCGGGTGTGGGAAGAGTACATTGTCTTGTGTTTTAATTTTTGTCAGGAGCTGAACTCCAGATGAAGACAGACAAAGTTATCTTAAAGCAAGAACCTGTGGAGGCTGCAGAAGGCTGTGCTGTGTTGTCCAGGTGCCAAGCAACAGGTGTCCCTGAGGGAGAGGGACTCAGAGAACCTTTGAAGCTGCAGAGCTTGCTGATGAAGCACTGTGTAATATTTAAGAAGGAAGGATCTGATTTCAGTCCCAGGGTAGAGAAAGAATCTGAAGTGTCAGGAGGGAGTGACACTCTGGACCTAAAACACGTGGCGTATTTGAGAGTTTCCAGGAAAAAGCGACCCCTGAAACACAGCTGTAGCAGATACCTGCGGAAGCGTTCACACCATCATGATTGTAAAAAACACGGAAAGGGGCTCAGATGCACACCAGGCGGCTTTGGCCTCCACCTGAGGATTCACACTGGGCTGGCGGGGAGCATGAAGGACACCTGTGGGAAAAGCTTCAGCCTTGGTACTGCTCACCAGCATGAGCAGGGGCTACATGTCGTGCGGCCGTCATACCGGTGCCGGGACTGTGGGAGGACCTTCAAACGGAGCTCCCACCTTGAGTGCCACCAGAGAATTCACAGCCAGGAGAAGCCGTTCAAGTGCAGGGTGTGTGAGAAAGCCTTCAAGTGGAGCTCCAACTGCATTCGGCATGAGAAGATCCACAGTGGGGTGAAGCCGTACAAGTGCAGTGTGTGTGAAAAGGCATTCCAACGTCTGTCAGCCTACCGTCTGCACCAGGAGACCCATGCCAAGCAGAAGGTGGAGCCGAGCCTGTGTGAAGATGACCTTCACTACAGCACTGAGCTGGACTCTTCTCCGAGAGACCGGAGAGGGGAGAAGCCTTTTGACTGCAGCCAGTGTAGGAAGTCCTTCCACTGCAAGTCCTATGTTCTGGAGCACCAGAGGATCCACACGCAGGAGAAGCCTTACAAATGCGCCCGCTGCAGGAAGAGCTTCCGGTGGAGGTCCAACTTCACCCGTCACGTGCGGCTGCACCAGGAGCAGGAGTTCGGCGCAGCAGACCCTTGCCAGGACAGCGTTTCTGAGAAGGACTTCTGTCAGCTGCAGGGACCCCCGGAGGCAGAGAACACTTTCAAGTGTCAGCAGTGCGAGAAAACTTTTACTCAAAAGAGAACCCTGGCTGAGCATCAGAGAGTCCACATGGGCCAGACTTCGTTCCAGTGTGGTGAGTGTGGGAAAGGCTTCACCTACAGGTCAGCCTTCATCGTGCACAAGAAGAAGCATGCCACGAAGAGAAAGCCAGATTTCAGGCCACCTCACAGTCCTGATGGCCCACTCCAGGCCCCGCAGAGCAGTCACGCCCCCGAGGAGCCCCATAAGTGCAGCCAGTGCGGCAAGGCCTTCCGCAACCACTCCTTCCTCCTCGTCCACCAGAGGATTCACACACGCGAGAAGCCATACAAGTGCAGGGAGTGCGGGAAGACCTTCCGGTGGAGTTCTAACCTCTACCGGCACCAGCGGCGGCACTCGGCGCACCGGCAGTGCGAACTCCCACCGCAGGGCCTGTGCCCCAGGGGCCTGGCTGACCAGAAGCCTTTCTGGTGCCAGGAGTGTGGGAAAAGCTTCACCCGGAAGAGGAGCCTCTTAGACCATGCAGGGATCCACAGTGGGGAGAAGCGCTATAAGTGCAGTGTGTGCGGCAAGTCCTACGACAGGAATTACCGCCTGGTCAACCATCAGAAAATCCACGCCTCCGAGAGAGCTTTTGAATACCAGTGGGCAGGGAGGGAGCTCCTGGGGAGACATACACTCCCCGGGCACCCCAGGAGGCACCCCTGGCTGATGCAGACTGAGTGTGTCGCCTCTGGGCTGTCCGCCCTCCAACACCCAGGGCCCGGTGCACAGGAGTTAGAGCCGGCAGCTACGGAGCCCCCAGAGGACAGGGAGGAGCCCCAGGAGCAGTGCTCCATACTCCCTGGCCTCCAGAAGGGGTCCCCTGGGCGGAAGTGCCACCGGTGCGGCACCTGTGGGAAGGTGTTCAGCAAGGGCTCGCTGCTTGCCAGCCACCGGCGCTTCCACACTCGGGAGCGGCCCTTCCAGTGCCGGGTGTGCGGGAAGACCTTCCGGTGGTCCTCCAACTTGGCCCGGCACATGAAGAACCATGCTGGGGAGTAGCCTGGCCTGGCCCCCTAATGGGCAGCCCTGGGCAGTCGCTGCATGGGGAACGGCACGAGGGCCCAGCCCTTTCTGTACCTGAGCTGGTGACTGGGCTCCTGAGGATCTCAGCTCAGGGAGTCCCCAACCTGCCTGTTGGGAAGTGGGGTACCAGGGAGTAGCAGCAGCGCATTCTCCGCCTAGGAGCAGCCTCGCTGACAGCCTGGGTCTCCCCAGCGTGGTGTCTGATGTCGGCTGAGGACAGGAGCCTGGCCTCTTGGGATCAGCAGCTTCTCAGGTCAGGTCTGGCCTGTGATGGTGCCTGTGGCTGTCACCCAGATCAGTGTGTCTGGAGTCCCCAGCAGTTCCCAAGGCAGCCTGATTGCTGGCTGCTTGCTGAAGGTGATGGGACCCCCAAGGGAGAGGAGGCCAGAGTGGGAGGTCTGTCTGCAGGGTTCCCTGCTGACCTGGGCTGCAGGAAAGTCCTGAGGCTCAGAGGTCCCTGCTCAGTGCTTGGGGCCGGTGCCCAGGAATGGGACTTTGCGCTGGGGTCCCCAACTTTCCTTTAGGCTTCTAAGAGTGTGAGCCAAAGTGCCGTGCCTGGGTCTGTGTCTGTTGTGCCCAGCTGGTGTCAGGCTTGCACCCCAGCAGTGCCATGCTCTGCCCTTGATGGCCCGCCTGCCTGTGTTGCAAAGACAGGATCACCACAGTGGTGCAAGCACAGCTGAAGCACTGTAATCCTGTTTCTGAATTGCTGAAGTCTTGGGGTGGGGGTGCCCCCAGAGGAAGAAGTGAGACTAGCCCAGGCTGTGGCCCGCTCGCTGGGGACTGCTGTGAGATCTCCGGGCGGCTTCAGGGGGTGTGTCTGGGTGTTCTGGTGGGCTTGCAGGCCTGCCACCACCCTCCTGCCTGTCCACGGTGGAGTCACATGCTGGCACTGAGTGCAGCTGAGTTCACTATAGAGAATGTTTTCCCGTCCTCATCTTGGTCCAGGAAGTTTATGTTTGTAATCCCAAGGAGAGGTTATTGCAGTTTAGTGAGTTAATTCCAATCTACCACTTCCAGTGCAACCCACAATGAGAAGAAAGACACTGAGGCTTATACAGCTATGGGGAGCTGAGCGGTCCTATGTCCAGCAGAGATAGTGTTCACCAGGACAGAAGCCACACCCAGAGCCCAGCCTGGGTTTTATTCCCCATGAAGGGAGTGGCTTGGGGATGAGTGACAGTGAGAGTTCTCATATAGGTGACTGTCATGAGCTGGACTAGGTAGGAGGGTGAGATCACCTCTGTGATACACAGAGGGCAAGCAGTGCAGAAGGAGCAATCCGCATAGCACAGCTGAGGCGGTAGCTGATTATCTGGGGTCGGTGCTTCAGCTCTGATGGGCAGTCCTGTTTGCCCTGGGAGGTCACAGCCTCATTCCTGAGGCTCAGTTCCAGCTGACAGTGTGGAGCATGGCTCTCCATCCTGTACTAGCACAAACATGGATTTGAAGAGTCACTGGATGGGGTAACAATGACCTTGCTTCAGAGAGGACACATCAGCTCCTCAGCCAGCCCAGTTTACATGACTTAGAGCTGATTGAAGAGACAAGGAAATAGCCTGGCCAGCTTTGTACATGGAAGCTGGGCCAAGTTTAACCAAGATATGGACGGCTACTCTTCTTTTCAAGGAAGGTCGTCTGGGTAGTTCCCCACACCCTCTTCTGGCCAGGTCACAGAGGAGCCATGGAGCCATCAGTCCTGGGCTTCTTGGGCCTTTGCCAAGCCAGCGGCCTCAAGAGTTGCCGAGGCCTATGGTGGTTTCTCCTTGCATGCAGTTGTAGCTGGCCAGCCTGGCCAGCTCCTGGTGCAGAGGGTGGAGTTCGCTGAGGCTTGTGGGGGGTGGCATGGTCATGGCCTGGAGCCCTCACAGAGGTGCTGCTCACCATCAGCGGCCTTTTCCTGTGCCGGGTTCATTCCCTAGCTCCTCAGCTGCCCGGCTCAAGACATTCTAATCCTAACAGGTGTTTATACTGCTGTTTTTATAGAGATCTTATTTTTATACATTCCAGTCAGATTTTAAGATCACAAAGAATGATGTCCAATAGGAGCTGGGGATTTAGCTCAGCGGCATAAGTGCTTGCCTTGCAAGCAGGCAGTCATGAGTTCGATCCCTGGTACTGATGAAAAAAAAAAAAATAATGACATCCAAAACAATAGGTGGTTTATACTGAAAATCACAAAGACTGATGTCCAAACCAGTAGGTGGTTTATACTGAAAAAAAGAGGTGCTCCTCCATTAGGATTGTACTGATGTCTGTCCAGTAAATGTTCCAGGAGCAGTACTACTACAGAAACATGAATCCAAGGCTGCCAAGGCTGACCTTGGGCACAAGCACTGACCATTTTGGTGTAAGTGGTGTTGGCATGGACTTCATCCCCCAGGTGCTTGCCTCCCCTCTGGCCAGCCTGCCTCGAGGTCTCTGCCCTGCACAGCTACATCCTTGGGTCTGCTCCCCAGCCTCTCCTTGGCTCGCATTCTGCCCCTTTGATTATGTCTGAGTTTCTAGGTGCGGCATGGCAGGCACCCTTCCCAGGTGGAGGAGATTCTGTGTGAATTTGTCTCTCTCAAGGACATGAGAAATGAATTATTTCAGCCACATTAGAGTTGAATGTTTCCCAGGGCCCCCTGAACGAAATGTACACTGGAAGGCACCACTTGTGTCCCTGCCAGTAGGACACCTGGGATTGTCTAGAGCTGTAGGACTCACATCGACACTGCATATCTCTGCCATCAGGTCGCATCTGGTGACTTCCCTGGCCTGGAGCATGTGCAGGCTGCTTCCGGCCTGGCCTGCCTGCCTTCCTGTCCTTGGAGAACCGAGGTGGGGGTGAAGAGTCAGATGCACCATGCTGTCCCAGTACACAGTGGGGGTTACCTGTGCAGCATGGCCTGAGCCACCCCTGCTGCAGGTTGCCAACCAGGCTGAGGTGTTTGTTGATGGGAAAGCAGGAGAGATGCACAATGGTTTGGAGAGTCACACATGTGTCAGTGTGTCCATGAAAACCAGATGGTGATGGCAGAGTGTGTAGAACAGCTGGAATTCACACCGCGATGGGATGGCGGTTGTGACAGCTGCAGTCCCAAACTCTTGGTGGGGGGGGGGGCAGGCCTGCTCTGCCACTGTGTGTGCTGCCCCATGCGGGCAGTGAACTCCATGTGGGGCAGAAAGAAGCAGGATTGGGAGAAGCATGCATGCCGCCAGTAGAACAGGTAGGTGGTAGGCTTGGCTTTTAGTGCTCCAGAGAGTGTGTTACAGCTCTCGATAAAGAAAGCAGTAGAAGCTGGCTAGGTGGCTCCCGAGGGAAAGTGCATGTGTTTCTGGGTGCCCCTCTGCTGCTGCTGACTACTTCACTGTGAATGGGGAACGGCCCTCGACTCGGAGGGTGGTTGGGGTAGCTAATGAAATTGTGCATGTAGGGTGGGTAGGATAGTGTCTGGGATGTAAATGTTCTTGATACTTAGGGCACAGTGTTACTGTTTGCACAGCATATTTTCTGTGGATTCACACGAGCTGAGACTGGTTGTGGGTTGAGTTGCCATTCTGCTGCCCAGGGTGGGAGAGGCGGGGCAGTCACGGAGGGCTCCTGGGGGCTCTGCTTGTTTTCTTGTTCTCTTTGTGGCTTTCACCACAATCCTAAGGCTTAACATGTTAAAGTGGGTTTTTTTTTTTTAACTCGTTCAAAATATATCAAAATAAACACTTTAGGAGGGGTCTGGTGTCTTAATAAAAGCTCATCTCTACCATTTATGAGTGACACAGAACAAGCTACTCGATCCTTAAAGTGTTAGTGTCCTTGCTCGCCCAAGGCATTATGGGAAGGACAGGTGAGCGACCCTGGTGGTGTGCAAGAGCACAGTGGTCCATGTGCCACCATATGTGATGGTGGTGCAGTGTTTAAGAAGAAGACAAAGGCCAGGGTGTCTCAGAGGCAGGAGCTCCTGGAGTGGCCAGCGCCCTGGTCACACTCCTCTGTCCCATGTCTGGGTAAGCTGGTTGGGAACAGCAGAGGGGAGGCCTCATCCGTGACCACAGTAACCAGTGGCACTCTCTCTGTTGCAGCTGTTCCCTAGCAGCAGAGGGTTCTTTTGCTCAGTTTAGGTAGAAGTCATGGATAGGTTAAAAGCAGCTCCCCCAGTGTGAGAGCCTCTGGCACTGAGCCCAGTGACGCTCAGTGCCTGGCTGTGGAAGCTGGAGTCAGCAGCTCCCGCAAGCCCTCAGGTGCTTTCAGCAGGTCTGCTTTGCTGTTACTTCCTCTTCTGTTTCTGCTGTTGGCTGAGCTCAGTGTTCCCAGCTTCTTGTGCAACACAGACCCTGTGTGCTGGGTGGAGATCGTGAAGAGGCCAGGTGACCCCGAGGGGCTCCAGCAGGAAGGCAGACCGAGCATGGACTGACCTAGTGAGGTAGGGAGGCTTGTTTGGTGTAGACTGCCAGCATCATAGCCCACATGAGGGGGGGTGGTTCGTAGATAGGGCTTCCCAAAGACTGGGCCGGGCAGCACGAAGCTGGGTGCACCCTAGGAGCCTCTTGGAGTGCGTGACGCAATGTGGCTCTGAGGGGAAGCCGACTGGCTCGGTGCCTGCCTTGCTGGTGTATAGGAAGCTTCACTTTACAAAGCCTCCATTTCTTGGCCAGTGCGGTTCCCCCAGACTCAGCCCCTGCGCCAGCTTTGGGAGCTGCGTCTGACCTCATCTTCTAGGAGCAAACTAGGAAATAGGAAGAGGAGCGGCCAGGATCAGCATGGCCCTGGTGGACACAAGCCCACGGGGGGCCTCTGCTAAAGCCCTCAGCACCTGAGCCTAGAGGAGGCACTGTAGGGCCCGTGGCGCTGCAGTTCTGCAGAGCGGTACCAGCTGTTTTAACTGGTTCCCATCACTGTGATGGACTGCAGGAATGAAGATAACAGTTGTCTTAGTTACTTTTCACTCTCGTTGAGACAAAATACCCAACACCCAACATGAAAGAAGGAAAGGTTTATTTCTTACAACTTTGGAGATTTCAGTCCATACTCTGTTCTCTCCAAGGCAGGTTGGCATGGTTGGGCTGCAGTTTATGGCCACTGCAAATAGCAAGGTGCGAACTGGAAAGAGAGAAACACTTTCTTGCCATTACATCACATCCTGGTGGTACCTCTGGGCACATGTAGCCCTCATACCACCAATCCAAGCACCAGACAATGAACCAATGACATGCATAATTGCATGAGGCTGGAGGCCACTCATGAGGTAAGATCTTCCAATAGACTCAAAACCCAGAAACCAGCTACACCTGGGAGATGCCTCGGAGAAGTGATCATCACCTAAGTGTCACCAGTAAAGCAACCCACTATAGGCCACTTACAAGCATCACCCCAGGAATTAAACTAGAAAAGAAAAGAGAAGGCAAATTAAGATGCAACGCCAGACATCCAGTTCACCAAAGGCAAACCTGGGGGCAATCAGGTGGGACAATCTGAAAGCCCCCACCAAGCCTCTCTGAAATGGAAACAAAGCAATTGAATGAGGATGTGGAAAAAATGAGGTCAGAAATACTCTCAGATAACTAGAGATTACCAAAATACACGTCATGCTTAGCGATGGAGCAGACACAGACAAAAAATAGAAGATGTTAAGCAAATTATGGAAGCACAGCATAGGAAACAAATGGAATCCTTAAGGCAGATTCAAGCAGATACACAGGTGAATAAGACTCCATTGGAAGTATTTGAAACAGATTAGTCCACTGTGAGGACAGGATCACAGATAGTGAAGACAGGTTTGCAGTTAGCGACCAGGAAAAGAAAGATTTTTCAAAACTAGCAACGGGCCATGAGAAATCAATCCAGCAGCTGCTAGATGAGAAGAATAAAAATTTGAGTCAATGAACAAGCAGGATACACCATAAATGACATTGAAAACATGTTCACAGACATTGTAACAGAAAACTTTCCTGGTAGAGAGGAATTAGACATCCAGATACGTAAGGCATATAGAACCCTAATTAGCAATGATCAAAAAATTTACATCCAGATATCAAAATTTCAGAAATCTAACACGAGTAGAATCTCAAAAGCTGTTAGGTATAAGAATCAAATCAGCTATATAGGAAAGCCCATCAGAATCACAGCTGACTTCTCAGCACAAACTCAAGGAGAGCTTGGAGTGAAGTGCTCCAAATTCTAAAGGAAAACTACTTTCATACCCCATAAAACTGTATTTCAAAATTGATGAAGAAATAAGACATGACAAAGAACTTCAGGAAATTTATAATCACCAAACCAGCACTTGAAAATGTTCTGAAGGACATTCTAGAAAGAGATAAGAACTACAGCACCAAGAACCCCAACAGAAGGAATCCACCAGGAAAGGCAAACAATTAGAGGAAAGGTGGGAAAAGGTGATGTGGGGAGATTCAATAACAGGAAAATAACGTAACAAGGATAAATTGGTGCATATCAGTTTTAACCAACGTTAATGGTCTTAGAATGAATCAAGAAGCAAGATCCAACAATATGCTATATACAAGAAACATTTAATTCAAAAAAATTAATAGACAAAGTCAAGGGATGGAAAACACTACTCTATGCAACAGGGATCCAGAAAGAAGCAGGGGTAGATAACCTATTTGGAGACAAAATGAATTTCAAGCCAAGACTAGTTAAGAGAGATAAAGGTCACTGTATCCTCATAAAGGGAACAATCCCAAGAGGAAGAAATAATCAAATATATATGCAACAAATACTAGTGCACACAGCTATATACAACAATTATAGACATGAAAAGTCAAGTAAGCTCTAAAACCATTTTATTGAGAGACTTCAATACCCCACTATCACAAAAAGATCAATGACAAAAAAATAATATTAGAACTAAATCACACTTTTGAGCAAATGGACTTAGTAGATGTTTACAGAGTGTTCCACCCCACATAGAATACACATTCTTCTCAGCTATACCCAGGACATTCTCCAAAATAGACCATATATCAGCTCATAGAACATGTGTAATAAGTAAATAAAAGGAACTGAAATTATTACATGCATACTATCAGACCACAGTGCAATAAAACTGGAAATCCATGCCAAAGAAAACCACAAGAATTTCATCAACACGTGAACATTAAGTAGCACCCTGCTGAACAACCAATGGGTCATAGATGAAATTAAAGAAGAAATTAGTTTTTACAGTTGAATGATAACGACAGTACAATGTACCAGAACTTGTGGGGCACAATGAAAGCAACCTTGAGAGGGAAATTTATAGCAGTAAAGACTCACGAGAAACAGCAAGCACATATAAACAACTTAATGTTGAACCTCAAATTTCCAGAAAAAGAAGAGCAGGCTAAACCAAGAGCTTGTAGAAGAGAGGAAATTATAAAGATCACAGCAGAAATTAACACACTGGAGACTAAAAGAAAATACAAAGAATCAATGAATTGAGTTGGTTCTTTGAAAGATTAAATAAAATTGACAAACCCTTAGCCAGCCTTATCAAAAAAAGGAAAAAAAGACTCAAATCCACACAATTAGGAATGAAAAGGACGAAATCACAACAGACCCTGCAGAAATCCAGAAAATCATATATACCTACTTTGAAAACTTGTATTTAATAAGTTGAAAAATACAGAACAGGGGCTGGGGATTTAGCTCAGCGGCATAAGCACCTGCCTTGCAAGCAGGCAGTCGTGAGTTCGATCCCTGGTACCGATAAAAACAAGACAAAAAAAAAGAAAGAAAAGAAAAAATACAGAACAAATGGACAGATTCCTAGATACAAATGAATTACCATAGCTGAGTCAAGAAAATATAAAAATCCTAAATAACCCATATCAATAAATGAAATCAAAGATGTAATTAAAAACCTATCATCAAAGAAAATCTAAGGCCTTAATGGATTCACTGTTAAATTCTACAAGAAATTTAGTGAAGACCTAACACCACTACTTCTCAAACTCTTTAATGAAAGGGAAGCAAGATTCCCAAATACATTGCTGGAAGCCATCATTACTCTGATACCAAAACCAGAGAAGGGCCCAATTAAGAGAATTACAGGCCAATCTCCCTAATGAACATTGATTTAAAAAATCCTCAGTAAGATACTGGCAAATAGGGGCTGGAGATTTAGCTCAGCGGCCTAAGCGCCTGCCTTGCAAGCATGCGGTTATGAGTTTGATTTGTGGTACTGATAAAAAAAATAAGGGGGGGGGGCTGGGGATTCAGCTCAGCGGCATAAGCGCCTGCCTTGCAAGCAGGCAGTTGTGAGTTCGATCCCTGGTACCAATAAAAACAAAAAGACCAAAAAAAAAAAAAACAAAAAAAACCAAAAAAAAAAAAAAAAAAACACAAAAAAAAACAAACCTGTCAGACTGCAGCAAATCATCAAGAAGATTGTACACCATGATCAAGTGGGATTCATCCCAGGGATGCAGGAGTGGTTCAACATACGTAAATCCATAAATGTAATACACCATATAACAGAGCCAAGGACAAAAATCATATGATCATCTCAATAGATGTGGAAAAAACTTTTGAGAAAGTCTAGCACCCAATCATAAAAACCCTATAAAAGGGTCAGGGGCTTAGCAGCACAAGCGCTTGCCTGGCAAATGCAAGGTTGTAAATTCAATCCCTGGTAGCAAAAAAAAAAAAAAAAAAAAAAAAAAAAAAAAAATCCTACAGAAAATTGGGATAGATGGTCTTTACCTCAATCCGATAAAGGCCATCTAT